GATTTTATTGCCATTCTATTCATTCCACTAATAATATGAGACAAGATGGCATATGTTTGTATATTTAATTCCTTAAAATATATGTCCTTATTAAAAAAATTACTGATATCTTTTGTTTTTACATCAGTCCAATGCTCCTTTCCTTCCCTTCCCAGAGAGTCATCCCTTAGAGCAAAGAATGAAAAAGAAGAGGAAAAACTAGCAAAACTAATCCATACATCAACTAATTCTGACATTATATACAGAGTTCCATACCTATACATACTTTCTCCTTATTCAGGTAATTTGTGCCGATGTACTGGATACCGACCAATTGTAGAAAGTGGGAAGACTTTCTGTGAGGTGAGTAAATTAAAGAAAATTGCAGTTATAGAATAGTTGAAAGTTTATCCAGTTGATAATTTTTATTGAATGATGCAAAGGAATCCAGAGTAGGTCATGTCTGCACCTGGATTTGGATGTGACAAGTAATATAAAGCCACTGTTGGTTTTTGTCCAAGGGGACTGACATAGTGAAAAAAAAAATATTTCAGGGAAACAGTTCTTGGAATCCAAGCATGAGCTAGGGAAGGCCTGCACAACTTGTGGCCTGTAGGCCACAGGTTGTATAGGCCCGAGCTACGGCATATTGGGGGAACTGGATGCAAGACACTAACAGGAAATTTTGATGACTGGACTAAAAAAGTGGCAATGAGAATGAAATATATTGTTAAAATATCAGAGACATTTCAGAAGAGAAATTTGTATGGTTTGGTCACTACCTGAATATGGGGAGTGAAGGATTAGAAAGGAGTAAAGATGAACCCAATGATTTTGAACCATACAATTATTGTTAGGGTGAGTTGTTACCAGGCAATGAGAAAAGAATTTGGGAATGCATTACTGGATCAAAAAGGTGTATGGAACAAGAGAAGGAAGATACTTTGAGTTTACAGTAAGTAAAATTTTACATGTAGAGTGATATATCTTTGGAGCTGTCCTGCAAAACACAACTTGAGTCAGATGCCTACTATAACATAAGTTTTCTAAAGGAAGTAAATTCATCTACATATTTTAGTAGGCTAAAATTAATATTTAGTCAAAAGGAGGCTTAAAATACTACATGTACTTAACTTTTAAAAGTCAAATTCTGTTTCATTATTTATACTACAAAAATCTTAAAAATTAAATGATTTTGTTATCTCTTTACATATGAAGTTACGGTCAATAAAACTTCTGTTTTATTATCATAATTGTAAGCTCTATGTACTACCAAATCCATGGAAAATAGTGGAAATTAGCTGACTTCTTTACTTTGGGCGCCCTCATTTAGCCTCTAAAGTAAGCTCCACTGTTGTATAGTGACCTTTCTGTTACAAAGACTATCCTTAGTCCTCCAAGGAGGGTATATTGTGAAAGACTCTTAAATACAAAGAAATAGTCAATAAGTATTTCTTAAGCACCTACTATATGTTAGGTACTGTGCTAACTGTTCAGGTTATAAAGAAAGTCAAAAGATGATAGAATGTAAGCTCCTTGAAGTCTAGGATTGTTGTCATCTTTGCACTATCAGCACTAGCATAGTGTCTGGTTCACAGTAGGTACTTAATAAATGCTTGTTTAATGAAAGACAAATTAAATTAATTGCATTGTGCAAGGAATTTGTTTGGGTGCTAGGGATAAGGAGATAAATAAAATAGATCCTTCTCACAAAGAGCTTACTTGGTCTAGTAGGACCAGCCTCCCCTCCTCCCCCACCAAATAACAATTTCTATATGATTGAATTATCAAAATAATTGTCCTACCTTCATCTTGTGAGTATAGGAATTATAATAAAGGATGAAGTGCCTTTCAGTTCTGCGGGGATGCTGTGGAAATCATAAGCTACTGAGTGGAGTAATTTCTTGAAAGATTACTTATCGTATGATTTGTTCTAGATTTTTAAAAAATGCACATTTTTATTGGCACTCCAGGTCCAGCCTCACTTCCTTCAAGAACATTTCCTTGGCTAACTATCCTGTACTTAGATCAGTCCATCATTGTCTTTCCTCATTACTTAGAGATCTCCTGCATAGTACCGTTACAGATATGTTTTCATGTTTCCTCATCATGGTTTCTAGCTGTTTCATCTATGCAATCCTTTTAGCTCCTTTTTCCATTCCCCACTTCTCACTGTAAGTTACTTGAGAGCAGAAATCATGTCTTGTACTTCTGCTGTAGTCCCTGTGGGACCCAGTACAAAGCTACACACACACTAGATACTCAATAAACCCCTGCAAAGTTAACACATGAACACATTTCTAAAGGATGTCATTTCTATAGGAATCAACTGTTTGTCAACTGCAAGGGACAGGAAAATGTTGCATGGATCAAGAGGAAAAGCAGTTCTACCTAGATAAGAAGGAAAAGGTATGTCATGAATTTCACTTCCAATTTGAGGTAAAGTTAATTTGGTGATCAAAGTAGCTAGGTAATGAACTACATAAATCTAGATGAATTCCATTTTCTTTCTTTCAATGACTAAAATATGTGGTAACCAAAAAAAAAAATAAGGTACAGCATGGCCTTTCAAATAGTTACTCAAGAGAACCAGCCCACAGTTGATCATGCTTCTGGGGTGTAGGGGGCAGGATGGGAATAGTAGTAAGGAGTGAAGTAATCTTCAGGGTAAAGAACATGATTCTTTCCTTTTTGCAACTGAATCCTTTTATTCCATGAAACATCCATTTAATGAAATTTAATTTGGTTTGTTTTTGAGATGTGTACTAAGCTGTATGATGAAAGTGAATTCCGACCCTTTGATCCATCCCAGGAGCCTATATTTCCACCTGAGCTAATAGTAAGATATTTTCATTTTGTTTTTTTATGCTGGTTTGTCATGTTAGAAGAAAACATTAACTAATGCTTATGTATAATACTAATCATATTTTTAAAAAGTTAATAATCATCAGAATATAACAGTCCAGCACCATGTTCCCAATGTTCTACCAGGTGAGTTCCAGAGGGTTTGATTAAGCTACACTTTAGAGAACAGAGATACAATGTGGAGGAAAGGACAATGACCTGGAAGTCTGAAAACACAGGTTCAAGGCCTGGCTCTACTTTTGTTCATAGAACCTTAGACAAATCCATTAACTTCCATGAAGTTAATTTTTTGAATATATTTTTTTGAAAATGCTTCAGCTTCCTTCTGCTTCCATATGGTTTCAGAATGATGGAAGAGGAGACTAAGGGTGCAAAGAATTATGTGGTTTTTAATCATGCTATAAACATTCACTTAGCTGTTGGCACTCTAAAATGAGATCCTTTTTGAGTGACCAACAAGTCAACATTCTGCTAGAGAAACTGACTCCTGACAATCATAACAATTATGGTAGAAGGACAACACCCTCCTCCTAGCCACTAGGGCTCACAATCTCGGAAGATTGGATTTCTCTCATCCTTTTCATCCCTCATATCTGAGCCATTGCCAAGGCTTGTCAATTTCACCTTCACAGCTCTCAAATGTGCATGGTTCTCTGTTCTGACACTGTTACTACTCAAGTGCAGGCCCTCCTCACCTCCCTCCTGGACTATTGCTATAGGCTACTGGTGGGTCATTCTGCCTCAAGTGTCTTCCTACTCCAATCCATTCTTAATTTAGCCACTAAAGTGATTTTCTTACAATGCAGGTTTGATCATGTCACACACCTCCAAACTTCACCCCCCACTCACACCATGCCCCCTACTCAAAAAACTCCTGTGGCTTCCTATTGCCTCTACAGCAAATACAAAAAAGTTCTGTTTGTCATTTAAAGACATTTATGACCTATGCCTCTCCTACTTTTCCAGTCTTTTTATACCTTGCTCCCCAACACATACTCTTCAAACAAGTCACACCATCCTCCTGGCTATTTCATGAACAACACATTCCATCTCTCAGGTCTGGGTATTTTCTCTGGCTCTACCCCATGCCTGAAATGGTCTCCCTCCTCCACTCTGACTTCTGACCTCTTTGGCTTCCTATGAGTCCTTACCAAAATCCTATCTTCTACAGGAAGTCTTCTCTAACTCCTCTTTTTGTATCCTCAGCTTAGCACAATGCCCAGTCCACAGTAGGTGCTTAATAAATGTTTATTGATTGTCAATAATAATGGAACATTTTTAAAGTGTTTAATTTTTTAATTTAAAATCTATCTTTAGTCCCCTCCATTCCCACCTTGTTTAAAAAAAGGGAAAAGAAAAACAAATTCTTTGTAACACATATACTTAGTCAAGCAAAACAAATTCCCTCATTGGTCATGTTTAAAAAATATATCTCATTCTGTATCCTAAATTCATCACTTCTCTGTCAAGAGGAGGATACCAGAAAACTAAAGGAAGTTGCAGTCAATGGAAGGATGAATTAAAAGATCTTGTAGAGAAACAATGGAATTGATTTTATCATAAATCTAAAGGCAACACAAAATATAATTTCATGAGAGACATAGTTATCTTGTATGGTGTTATTCAGTAGCATAATTCTTTATGAATAGATCATCTTAAAAAGAACTAGAGTTCCCAATATCTGCCATAGAAAATAAGGAAGTAGAGAAAATCTATGAAGAACTTGATGATACTCCCACATTCAATCAATATATACTTAATTTGTTTTTTGCAAATTTTTGTTCTTGCAAAGATAGTCATATGGTAGAATTGGGGCAAAATAGGTTGTTCCTTGTTTAAGAGTAAGAAGTCAGTCTTATGACTATGTTTCACAAATACTTTTTGTTTTTGAAAAAAGAGTTAAAGGGTATTGGGCACAGTAAGAAAAAGGTAACATCTCAAAAATGGAAATGTTTGTATTTTAACAAACAACAAACTTGGGGAGACTGTTTCGGGAGTCACTTAGTAATTAACCATTTCTGTGTAGTCAAACCAACTTGTAAAAGCAAAAAAATAAATTGAAACTGGAACCAAATTGGAAGAGAAAAAAATAAAACGAGAAGACCCAAGTAATGTAACTCCAATATGACTTAACTATTTATTCTGGGAAGTGGAAAAGGATAAAAGAAACATGATGGGCACAGACTAATGGTTTTTCTAAGTAATTTTTACCAATGTAGGTCAATCATTTCAATTAAGAGGATTAAAGGGCCTAGGAATGAACTAATCTAGCAAATGCTTTATGAGATGAGGGATGGCAGTCAAGGGTAGCACCATTTTTAAATATGTTCTTCTATATGTAAGAGATTGCAGAAAAACAGTGGAAAAGTATATGATGCATTGCCTCATAGAAGAGTGAAAAATGTTGACAAAAAGCAAATCTTTAGAGAAGAGTATTCAAGAGACTCAACTGTTCAAATATATTCTTATATCTGAAAGAGGGGAGAATAATGTGTGGGAAAAATCTCAGACCTTATTGTCACAAAAAAAAAGATTACTCAAGAAAAATTAATTTCTATGTAAATGTGTGCTAGTAGGAATAATGCTCAACCCACATGAATATTTCCCATCTATATAACACATTTATGATAATAACCTACTCACCCATCAAGGGCATGCTTAATAACATCCTGAGAAGCCTGGCATTCACAAAAAATGATTCAATACCAGAACACATCTTTACAATAACCCAATTGACTAAAAGGTATAAAATATAAAAGGTACACTATGCTTATTGATGTTTGATTATAAAAAGCATTTGACTTGATTTAGGAAAAGAGCACTTTAAAGACTTTCTTCACTGGGCTGTCCCCTGCATATGTCAGAATTTCATAAGCTTTATGGAAACACAGTTTTGTAAGGTGTCTTGATAATTAGATACCTCCAAAAAATTAGTCTTTAGCCACATTTTAGATTTAGATTTAAAATTTTGTTTTTAATATTCATTTAAAAAACTTGACTTCTAAATTATCTTCTTCCTTTTCACCACTCTCCCACCAATTAAGAAGGCAAGCAATATATTATCAACTATACATGTCAAGTCAAGCAAAACACATTTCCATGTTAGCCATGTTGCAATTTTTTTTTAAAAGCAAGAAACATAAGGAAAGTAAAAAAAAAATTATGCTTCAATTTGCACTTAGAGTTAATCACTTCTCTCTCTTGAGTGGATAGCATCTTTCATTATGGGTCCTTTGGAATTGTCTTGGATCATTGTCTTGATCAGAATAGCTGTCTTTAACAGTTGATCATACTTCCAATGTTACTGTTACTGTGTACAATGTTCTCCTGGTTCTGCTTACCTCACTTTGCATAAATTCATATGTCTTTTTATTTGTTTCTGAAACCATTCTTCTCTTCATTTTTTACAGCACAGCAGTATTCCATCGCAATCATATACCAAAACTTGTTCAGCCATTCCCCAATTGATAGGCATCTGCTCAATTTCCAATTCTGTTATACCACAAAAAGAATTGCTGTAAATATTTTTGTAAATACAGGTCCTTTTGCCTTTTCTTTGATCTTTTTGTGATACAGACTTAGCAGTGGTATTACTGAGCCAAAGGTTATGCACCACTTTATTTCTTTTTGAGAATAGTTCTAAATTGTTCTCCAGAAAGGTTGGACCAGTTCACAGCTCCAACAATAGTGCGTTAGCTTCTCAATTTTTCCACATCCCTTCCAGCATTTATCGTTTTCCCTTTTTGTCATTATAGTCCATCTCATAGGTATGATTTCTGAGATCCCTTCTAGCTCTATTAAACCATCATTTTAGCCCTGCAAAACTCAGAGTTTATAACTCCAAAATGGTGTTCACTTTTTATGGCTAGTTTTGCTTTAGACTTTTTCACCTGAGAACTACTCCCTAGCATTTTCTATGCTTTGTTTCCCTCTAGAGGATGGCAGAAGATCCCCAAAAGAAAACTCTTATTTTCTGTGGAGAGAGGGTTATGTGGATATCCCCTGCTAATATGAGTGAACTTTTGGAGCTAAGAATGAAGTACCCTACAGCACCCCTTGTCATGGGTAACACCACAGTAGGTGAGTGGAATAACAAAACATCTTTTGTCACTGAGGTCCTTGAAGAAAACTGAATTTCTTATCCATTATTATCCCTTTTAAAGTTTGCCTTTCATTCATGTATGATAGCAATAAGATTGTATGAGATAGTATTTTAAACTCCCTGGAAAGTCTCAGTTATGTAGATAGAAGTTTGTTACTTTAGAATTCATAAATATGGTCTTTTAGAATGGTTTGTGGGGTTTGTTTGTTTTTGTAAATGATTCCTTGAAGTCACAGTCAGCTCTGGAATGTCAGCCAGTTTTATATATTTAATAGTTACTAAAGGAGAGTCTCAGCTTCCTTTAATTAAACCTCTAAATAACTTTTCATTGAAGGACTAAATAAGAAATTAAAAGGAGAATTCCACCCTATTATTATATCTCCAACTGGACTTACAGAATTAAATTTTGTGGATTTTACAGATGATGGTAAGTACTTTATTTTACTAGTAAGATGTTGCTAATGATTATTAATGGAATCTTCATATTAGAATATTTATGATTCACTACAATCATCTGAATATTCAATTTATAACCTCATAATCATAAAGTGTCTGTCAATTGACCCTTTTCAAATTGACCCACAAAGTGGTTCAGATGATCTCATTAACTAATATTGATTGAACACTCACCTTGTGGAAAAAGCACCAGACTTGGAGTGAGAAGACTTGAGTTTTATTCTCAGATCATGTGCCCTCTAGTTTGACCTTGGATAAATTATTTTGATTCTCTGGGCTTCAATATCTTCATATATAAAATAAAAAGATGAAACTGAATGAACTCTAAATTCTCTTTCAGCTGAATATTCCATGAATCTTGGCTTTTCAATTTATTCTGCCTCTCTGGATCTCAATTTTCTGATCTAAAATGAAGGGATTATACAGGATAATCACTAAGGTCCCATGTAGTGCTAATATTCTTTTATGTAAATTCTATAATCTATAATAATAAACAATACTACTCTTTTCTAAAAACTTAGTTGAAGTGATACATGAGAATAGAAGATGCCTTTCCTAATGATTCTGCTGGCTTAATTGGGTCTATCTTGTGGATCGTCATCACTACTTTTTGGTTTCCATCCTTGCTGCATACAGGCATGTGCCATTGATATCATATAGAGCCACATATGATGCTTGAAAACAAACCAAATCTTGGAAAGGATATATAGTTTTCTGTAATCCACTCAAACATGCTCAATGTCAGTCATGTTGAATTGAATATAAAAAATGGCACAATGAACTAGGAAGATATTTAGACTAACAGATACCAATACCCAGGCTAATCAAATTCAACAAATATTTGTGAAGTGCTGACTATGTCCAAACCACTCTTCCAGGCACTAGTTATATAAGGACAAAAAGGTCCAACTCCTGCCCTTGAGGAGCTTATACTCCAGAAGGGTATGTGTTGTATAAAAATAACTACAGTTCTAGTTAGAAAGTGACTAAGTGGAGGGACAGCTAGGTGGCATGGTGAATAGAGCACTGACCTTGGAGTCAGGCCCTGAGTTCAAATCCAGCCTCAGACACTTGACATTTACGAGCTATGTGATGCTGGGCAAGTCACTTAACCCAATTGCCTAGCCCCCTCTCAAAAAAAAGTGAATAAGTGTATAGTAGAAGTGAGTGAGTTATGTGGGTAGTTCCAAAGGGGAGGTATAACTTCTAAATGAGGGGACAAAAACAGGCTTTCTGGAGGAAGAAAGTACCTGGTGTGGGCTTACAGAGAAAGGATTTGTTCCAGATATGGAGAGTGTTGTAAGCACAGCTAGAAGAGACAAGATAAGAATAGAGAATTTCTAGCTGTCCAGTATGACTAACATTGTATGAAGTAAGGATCTGGGCAAATTCCATGAATGCTGAAGTGATATGAGATTATGGGTCAATTTTTTAGGGTATATGTATTGGTCACATAGGTTATGCCTATTTCTACATGGGTTTTCTAAATGTGACAAATGGGAATGCATGAATAGATATCTCTGTAAAGTTTCCCATGTCCCTACAATGGAGATTTTAATTCTTGCATGGATGGGAGTGAGAGAAAAAGTCACCAACTTGGCCACGCTGTTCTCCTCAAAAAGAGGGAACTACACTAAAATTATATTGATTCTTCCTCCCTTAAAATTGTTAATGTAGAGAATTTAAACTATTTTCCTTGTTATCATCCCTTAAGGAGAAAGAAGTACCCAAGCTTGTTTCCAAAGACTTGACTCCTTTCCACCAAATTCTAGTTACACAAAAGATCTTCACAAATAGTGAATAGCAAAAAAAAAAAACAAAACCAAAAAAACCCCCCAAAAAACCCCAAAACAAGATAAAACAAACACTGTATCTTTCCCATCAGAAAGCAAACAGAAATCAGAGAATTTATGCAAATTAGAATATGCCAGACAATAATAACACAGAGATAATAATATTACTCCTTGGTAGGAAGATAGCCCAGCTCAACCAAGTGAGAATCCCCAGCCAAGGAGAAATTATCTGAAGCTTTTAGGAAGGCAAGATGAAAATCAGAGACATGTTGAAATGCCAGCTCCTCCATATGTCTGCCTACCACTTCCCAAAATGTGTCTCTCTGACTGTCTTTTTCTCTCTCAAAAGGGAGTCTGGAACTATATATGTCCTCTCTTGAAACAAGTATGAAGAAGGTCTCAGTCTCCAAAGCCCTTATGCCAACTCCAGGCCTCACACAGGACCTCAACTTTCAGCCAAATCAATGCATGTCAAATTTGTTAAATGACCACTATATGCAGGGCACTGTGCTAACATCATCATTCTCTCCATGAGCAAGGAATGTCTTATGCAAATATTCCAGCTTTGAACTTCAAGTATATATCTGAGGGGAAATTTCCATTTACCCTACCTAGCTAAAGCCCCCTTTAATAGCAAAGAAGCAATATGATTACTTTCCAAAGTCAAAAGAACATATTACACTCGAACTTTACAAAAGTCTTCATAAAAACTAACATCAAAAATAGCATAATGTCTTGTCCTTGGTAAGTGCTCAACAAATGTTTGTTGAACTTATTTGAATTGAAAATACATTAATTTAGAGAAAGTAACTAAAATATATATCTCATTACTTTCATACTTTGGACCTGAAAGAAGAATATGTTTTAATTAATCAATCACCTAAACCTTAAACCCTAAACCTCATGACTAAACTTTTTCCAAAAATTAGATAGAATTTGTCAATAAATGGATAAATATATGTGTGTGCTATTCTTAGAGACAGGTAGAACATAAAAGGCTAGTCTCCTTTATTATTTTTTAAATAGGAGAAATTGCATGGCCTAACAAGTTTTAGTCAACTCCCAATTATACCAAGCTAGTCTCCTCACTGGAAGTGGTTTTGATCATTAGCACAAGCTTAGGGATGGAGGCAAGAACCTTTTTATTCTTCATGAGTCAGTGACTCAGAAAATATCATTCTCTGTTTGTATACACAGGGCATGCCTTATAAAAAGGCAGAACATGTAAAGTTAATATTGTGGTTAGGATAAGGAGTCAGTCCTACACTTACTACTCCCTATTCTTCTCTCTAAAATCTACATCATTTGACTTAATTCAGCATATACCTATGATGTATCTACTATGTGCAAGCTATGCTAGACTGTGATTATAAAGGCAGAAATGAAACAGCTCTTACTCTCAACCATCTGGATGAATTCCTGCTTTAAGTATCTTATATTGTCCTAGTGAGATGCAACATATGCACAGTTAACTAAATACAAAATAATTTCAAGAGAGAGGAAGATAACAGCTGGGGGTGAATAAACAATCAACTAATCCATCAACAAGCATTAATAAACACACATTATATGGCAGGTACTGTGCCAGGCACTGGTGATACAAAAATGAGAAATAAAATCTCTATCTTTAAAAAGCTTCATTTTCTCAGGGAAGACAGCATGTACACACATATATAGATATGCACACATACACACACACACAAACAAATGCAAAATAAATACAAAGTGTTTTTGTTGTTTATTTTATTCTTTTATCAAAGGAACCGGTCCTTGGAGGATTAAAAAAAAGCTTTATGCACAAGATTGCACTTGACTTGAACTGAGCATTATTTTTCAAAAACGAAAACACATAAAATCTATAGATATATAGGTACATAAACATGTATTATATTCCCAGAGGCAAGCAAAACATATGAAAATTGTCTTTTTTTAAGGGAAAGTTCATGGCTAAATTTCAAGCTTCAGTCATTGCTCAATTATTCCTATATAGATTATCATCATTATGAATGGTTTCTATTATCATCAGTTGTTGAATGGATAAATGATTGAATGTTTCTAATTCAAATCACCCTTCCCCCCCAAAAAAAAACTCAACTTGGGGGATCTTTAGTTTCTATCATTCTAAATAAATCTGACCAGCTCCATTTGTCTTAATTGCAGGTATAACAATAGGTGCTGGATGTACCCTGGCTGAAATGAAAGAAATTTTGGCTTCCACAGTTTCAAAGGAGCCAAAAGAGAAGACTAAAACATACCGTGCTCTCCTAAAGCACTTGCGAACATTGGCAGGACAGCAGATCCGAAACATGGCTGTGAGTTCACCTTTTTTTTACAGTTAGCATCCCGAGTTAGAGATATCTAGCCCTGTCAGAAAAACAGTGATGTAGCTTTTACATCAAGTCCAAGTCAACAATGAGAAACCACCATCATGCTTTGATTGGTCTTGTGTTGCCAAAATAAGAGGCAGGGAATGTAGCGGGAAGAGTCCTGTCCTAAGAAAGCAGAAGACCTGGGTTCTAATTCTGGTCTCTACAACTGACTCATCATGAACTCTTGAACAAGTCAATTCTCCTTGAGGTATAGTAGAAAGAGCACTGAGTAAGACAACCTGAGTTCAAACCCTACTTCTGATATTTATTACCTCTATGACCTTAGACAAATGTCTTAACATTCCTGGGCCTCATTTTCTTCATCTGTAGAATGAAAGGGTTGGACTAGATGATAACTGAAATACTTCCTTCTGGCTTTAAAGCTATAATCCCATGATCCCTCTTTGGGACTCAATTTCCCCATTTGTAAAACAAGAGGTGGTATTAAATGACTGCTAAAGCTCTTTTCAGCTTTCAAATCTGCTTCTGTAAAATAAGATGACATATTTTTACGACTTAGTAGACATGAGTCTATGTTGCCAAAAATCTCCTGTATAGTTGTTTTTCTTGGTCTAGCACTTTTTATCTTAAGGCCAAGGACTAGGTATAGAAATTGAACTCTTATTCTCTCAGTGCATTTCCTCTCTTCCCTTAAATCAGAGCCAATCACTTCAGGATCTGGCATAGAAAATAGATCTGTGCTGATCCTGCTATATAGATTAAAAAAAAAAGACTCAGGTACACTCCTCCCAGCAGCTAGGTGGTACAGTGGATACAGCACTGGGCCTGGAGTCAGGAAGATCTGAGTTCACACTCTGACTTAAGACACTTGCTAACTATGTGACCCTGGGCAAGTCACTTAACCCTTACTTGCCTCAGTTCCTCATCTGTAAAATGGGGACACAAAGGAGAAGGAAATGGTAAACCACTGCAGTATCTTTGCCAAGAAAACCACATGGAGTCACAAATAGGCAGATACAACTGAATGATTGAACACAATCTGCCCAAGAGTAGCTCAAGGCCTTTTTGGAATGAAAGTGAGCCCCAAATTTGCTCAACAGAGAGGCATATAATCAATTATTCCAGCAATTAGAGATGAAAATATTTATATATTTTCTTTTCATTTCTTTTTTTTTTTAGACTTTAGGAGGGCATGTGGCAAGCAAACATGATTATTCTGATATCAACCCCATTCTGTCAGCAGGGAAGACCATCCTCAATTTAATCTCCAAAGGTAAGATACCAAATTATCTGTTTGCTTCGTAAATGTTATTGGTAGTTAAGTAGAAGCTTATCATAAATCACTGAATGAAAGTTATTCTTTGGTCCCAAATCAGTAAGTATTCAATTTAGTCTCTATAAACAGATGAGCTCTTTGAGAGCAGAGACTGATTTTTGCCTTTGTATGCCCTGAGCTTAGCATACTGCCTGGAACAGAGATGGCATCTGATAAATATTTGAATTGAATAGTATCAAACATCTACCCTACAGACAATATCTAACCAGTTCATAAATTTTAGACAAATTATCCAATATTTGATTAATTTTTTCCATTTTCATCTTGCACATTTAGCAGCATATACCTATAGCTTAAACTTTGCCAAAATTCTTTAAGTTGAAGAAGATATGTTAGGTATCACTGAATTTTCTATTTTTAACTATTATTGCTTCTTATTACTTCAAAACATCTGTGATTTCATTGAAATAGATGAAATCCTTCCACCAACATAAATGACAACCTCTCCATGTCTTATCAAACAATCTTTAGGAGTTGTTATGACAGAGAGTAAAACAAAACAAATCATCTGCTGACCAAATTTCTGAGAATAAACCTCTTTGTACAAGGGACAACAAACATACTCAGTACACTTGCAGACCTGTACACAAAGCCTTTACAGTATGATAGCATCTGTCAAAATTATTATTCCTCCAGCCTCACTTTCTAGAACTGAATCCCAATTTAAAATCATCTAGAATAATCCCAATCTAGAACTCATATCCCAATAGGACATCAGACTATAAATTTGTTGGAGACTAAAATTTTTATAATAAAATTTTAAAATTTCTCAGAGTATCAAGAGGAAGCAAGTTTTCTTGAAGGACTTCCCATTTGAGATGAAATGATATTTGCCAGGCACATTAATTTTTCTCTTATTGAACAATACATCGACATCCTTAGAGTAAACATGGTATACATTTTAAAGAAATTTTTAAAAATCAGATATAACGAATACATACTACTGAGGATTGCAGAACTGCAAGATTCCTTTTCTTTATCCACAAGTAAATTAAAAAAAATAGATTCAATAAACTTTAACCTTATAAAGTACAGGATGCTCTGTGGTTTGTTAAATTCTTTTTCAAACAAGTATTTTCTCCAGCAGAAGGCAAATGTCAAATCCTGATAGAGGAATTTTTAACCACAACATCTCTCAAAGAAGAACTTCATGACGGAGAGGTTATCTACTCTGTTGTTATTCCCCAACTCTCTTCATCGATTGCCCATGTCTATGTCATCACAATTGGCCATTTGGAAAACAAAAAGATTAAATTACTGTTTAAGAGAATAGGTTATTGCTACAACAGTCAAATCAACTACCTCACCAGAGAGGCATTTCAGTTCCCTCATAGGGAAGTGCCATTCTAGGCTCTCTGTTGGTTTATACTGATTTCCACAATGTGACTGTCTACTTAGACTAAGAATCTTCTGCCTCCAAAACTTTAAGTGCTATTCTGTTGGTCCTTGAGAAACTTGTCACTTCTACTTGTATTTCTCCATGGGCAAGCCAGGCTAGGGTCTCCCTGAGCATGGGTCTCCTTAGTCCATTGTTATTTTCTCCAGACTTCCTCTGTCATTCTGAATCTTCTCTTCCAAGTCTCTTATATATAACTTCCCATGATTTGTTGAGATAAGCTGACAGCCTGATTACTGTTTGATAATCCTCAGTTAGGGAATCCAGTTACTTCTTCTCTAATGCCCCTGATATATGCAGGGTATACTCAGTGGTATGAGACAACTGCCACCACTTCATCTACTCACTACAACAACATCCAGTTAAAATGAGAATGGTTTAGGTTCTTCCATCAAGTATGTTATCACTTACATAGAGTCTCATTTGCTTGATCCCCTTCAGTGTAAGCATTCAGATTACTGGTGCATCCTGGACATTGAGGATAGCAAGGACAACAGACTATTTACTTCATTCTATAAGCTTCTCATGCCTTGGGATAACAATTCAGAGCTTTTCTCTTTTTAGTGGGACTTTATAACAGCCCAACGACAAGCACAGCGTTTTGAAAATGCATTTGCAATTGTTAATGCTGGAATGAGTGTCCAATTTGGAGAAGGCACAAACATTATTAAGGACCTTAAGATGTTCTTTGGAAGGGTTGGTCCTACCACAGTCTCAGCAAGCAAAACTTGTGAGCAGCTTATTGGCAAGTATGTTGAAAGACATGGGATGAAATGATCATTTTTGAATTTAAAACAATAACTATTTTTAAAACTGCATATCTTCTGTCATTTGCACAGTGTTTGAATTAGTATACTGTACTTCAACATGTTAGAGGTCATTCATTTCAGCAGTGTAAGTATTCCCTTATTGATGGGTCATAACTTCTCCATGTATCTTGTCAACCCCAGAGTTCAATCTAAGAAAGACAACAGAATTAAGTTGTATGCGTGCTTTTATTTCTCTGAAGCTGGCAGCATCCATGCAGAGCTGCAGTTGGAATGGAGCTCACTTTGGGGTTAGGCTTTACACAGTATAAAGCCGTGAAGCTAGGAAATATCCCTGACTCAGGATGTCTGGTCTTTTGTGAGCCAAGATTACAATTTCCATAAGGCAAGGACGTGCCCGACTCAGGATATTTGTGCAAACTTAACCTGGTTTTGTGGTTGCTGACACAGCAAGAGGATTTTGGGTTCACTCAGCGAGTATTACAGAGGATTTTTGGTATGTCACTCCAGAAGGGCTCAAATCATCTTCTCCAATTGGCCAGTTGAGGCTTTCAGCCTTCTTCAGGTGGTAAGGGGCTAAAGCGGGTCTCACAATCTTCACAAATTATTGTAGCGAAAAGAAAAATGATGACCTAGTGGTTAATTTTCTCATGATAATTCTTTCTCAATTGATTTTCAGAAAAAAAGGCATTCTAAATGGGAAAAGGGTGATGGGCCTTCATTTCAGGCATGGAGAACAGCAAGGACAAAGAATCAGAGATGGAAGATAGCATGTTGCAAGTGACAGCTAAGTAGTACAGTGGACAAAGTGGATAAATATGACTTGGACTCATAAAGACCTGAGTTCAAATCCAGGGCCACATACTTATTAGCTGTGTGACTCTGGGAAAGCTGCTTAATCTCTGTTTACATCAATCTTTCAGGGTTGTTGTGAAAATAAAATTAAGTAATATTTGTAAAGAACTTAGCACAGTGCCTGAAACATAGGATACAAATGCCTATTTTCTGTGCTCCTTTCCTTATACATCATGATCTTCTAGTTGCTTCATGTTTCTTAGTTCATGTGTCATGGGACTCTGAACAAGATGCTTAACTTTATTGAGTCTCAGTTTCCACATCTGAACAAACCCAGAGGTAATAACATTCATTTTAAAAGATAACATCATCTATTTCAGAGAAGGCTGGCCTTGACATCAGGAAATTGTTGTTGTTCAATTGTTTAGTCATGTCTGACTCTTCATGATTCCAGGGACTTGTTCATAGGGTTTTCTTGGCAAAGATACCAGAGCGATTTGCCATGTTTTTCTTCAATGTTTTATAGTTGAGAAACTAAGGTAAAAAAGAATTAAGTGACTTGCTTAGGGCCACACAGCTTGTAAGTGTCTAAGGTTTGATGTGAACTCAGGTCTTCCTGACTCTAGGCCTGGTGTTCTATCCACTGCACCATATAGCTGCCCCCAGCATCAAAAACACCTAGGTTCAAATCCTGCCTCTGACACATACTAGCTTTGTATTACTGGACAAGTCTATATATCTCTCAGTGCTCCAGACAACTCTTTAAAAGCATAAGTTGAAGATGAGTTGCTTATCTTTATCAGTGGAGAGTTTCAGGGAGTTCCCCACATGAATAAAATCACTTATTTAGAACCCTCCCCTCAAATGCCTGAGCTCATAATTTCATGTAATGATCTAATAAGATGATATAAATAAAGCACTTTTAAACTGTAATGCACTATGGTGTGTATGTTGTTGCTAGTCAGATTAGCACTATCTCTAAACCTAAATTATCCAAGCTGAAGGCGAAGACCATGACATTAAATTATTTTGTAGCCTTTTCATTGTCTGACTCAATTGTGGATGTACAATGGCAAAACTGAGGCTCACATTCTTGGTCTTTGAATTTTCCCTCTATTACTCTATACTAGTGGTATCCAAAGTTGGATGTCCAAGATATCAGAATACAGAAAGAGGATATTAAAACTCTATTTATGTAGGCAGCCTGGAGTAGAGGATAAAGAGCTGACCTCAGAGTCAGGAAGATATGAGTTCAAGTCTGTCTGACACTTACTGACTTTGTGATCTTGTGTAAGTGAATTACCTTATTGCTCTAGGCAGCCCTTTAAGACTATAAGGTATAGGAGAGTTGCCAACCAGCTTTGGCAGAGTGAATTTCTTCACCACATGCTCCCTACACCAATAAAATCATCAATCAATCCCTATATCTAGTTGTACATAAGGAGTGTTGGTGTGCTGTTATTGTTTTGTTTAACTCTTGTAGGTTATGTATGTCCCCATGGGTCTGAATGCAGTTCATAGGGAGGCAAGAATAGGTAACTCTAGTATCTTTTCTCCTCACCATTCTTCAAGGGAGACTTTGATTCTTGCCAGGAGGGGAAGTGGGACATTGAGTCAAAAGGTCACTGTCCTCTCCTCAGAGAGGGGGTACTGGGTTACAAATATGTCTGTCTTTTCTATTAAATATTTTTAACTTAGGAGATATAATTTTTATGTTCAAATTAAACTCCTGATTGTTGTTCCTTAATGTGAACTGAGGTCCCAAGCCTTATATCCAAGGCTTGACTTTCTTTCCATCAGATGCCAGTCACACAATGAACATATATAGTGAATAACAAATAAATACAACAAACCAATAGGAAACAAATCAGGGAAAGTAATAAAGAAGAACATATACCAGACAGTATAGTATGAAGGAGCTCTCCCATTGGGAGT